CAAAACTATTCATAAAATCTTTACAAACAAAGATACAAATCAATAACATCAAAGCAAACGACTTTTAAAACACTTTATTCAACAATTCCCCGAGATAAATAAACGTCCAGGTATTTACACATCATAGACAGCTGCTTATTCAATAGCAAGATGTCCAAGGTCCTTAATAGTCAACTGATTATAATACAACAATGTAAAGGATCCACAGAAGTTTATAATATCTTGAAACTATGTTGCCGAAAGAAAGAAAATAAGATGATAAGGGATCAACAAAATAATAAGTAATCTGTAACAAATCGTAGAATAGATCTTCTTTCCAAATTGTAACTATTACTATGCAGACTAAACAAACCATTAGTTCTTAAACACTTTTTCATAATCCCATCTCATTCCTTCTCACATTGGTTTCTTTTGGTCTTTGAAGAACATTTGATTTTTACGTTTTGGTTATTAAATAAATCTATTTTTGTCTCATTTTTATTCATCCCAAATAACCCTTCCTAATCATAACTATGCACAAGTTTGTTTGCTTAATACTCAGAAGCAGAGAGGATTTTCAAAGAATCAATGTAATTTTTACTATATAATCAATAGAGTCCTGCCCTAACACCAGAACCCTTGCCCCAGGGGCCATGAAATTCACAATTTTGGAAGGACACTCTTCTTCATCATAACTATGCACTTAGTTTGTTTGCTTAATATTCAGGAGCAAAGAAGAAGATTTTCAAACAATTAATGCATTCTTGCTATATAATCAACAGAGCCCCGCCCTTACACCAGAATCCCTGACATAGGGGCCGTAAAATTCAAAATTTTGGGAGAGGCACCCTTCCTGCTAATAAATATTCACTAAGTTTGTTTGCTTAATATCCATGAGCAGAGAGGATTTTCAAAGAAGCAATGCACATTCACTACATGATCTATTGAACCCCGCCCTAGCACAAGGATTCCTGACCCAGGAGTAAAGAATTTCACAATTGTGACAGCGGGTTTAATGCTTATTACAACTTTGCCAAACTTTGACTGCCAGACGTCCATAAGTAAAGCAGAAGAATTTCAAGAATGCACTCATTTTTAGAGATTTAGTCCCACCCCTCAGGCTCTAGGGGACTGGGATCACGAAACTCGCAATATTCGTTTCCATTTACTCATAAATGTCATGTACTAAAATGGTTGAAATCGGTTCAGAGGTTTCAGAGAAGAAGTTGAAAATTCAAATGTTAACGCACGACGGACGAAAACAGATAGCAATAAGTCACCCGGTGACTCAGGTGACTTAAAAATTGAACTGTATATTTATTACCTTGTCATTGGTCATTTGTAAAATTATTTTGTTAAAAAATTATTCTGATTGTACAAACAAGAAATCCGAAGTTGATAGGTAACAAGATGCTTAAGTTTCAGATAGACAATATCTATGTAGTCTTTAGAGATCAATTTATTGGAATTCCCATGGGTACTAATTGTTCCCCGTTATCAGCAGACGTATTTTTCGTATTTATATGAAGCAGAACTTATTCAAAACTTCTACATTAAAAGAAGTCTCTTGATGTGAAATTTAATTCGAAATATAGATATATCGACTACGTTTTATCAATTTACAATGTTCATTTTCATTCCTACAATTAAAAATATTCATTTTCATTCCTACATTGATTCGATCTTTCCCTTGGAACTCGAAATAAAAGACATCACAGAGTCTTTTTCACTCACCTTTTCACTTTTCACTCACAGAGTGTTTCATATTTGGATATTTTACTAGAAAAAAATTAATGCCAACCTAACAAAAAGACTTGATGATAAAGGAGACTTAGACAATGGAGCTTGATTAGTGTTCTTTATCTTCATATTTCCTTAAGACCTTCAGAGAGAAAGGGTTAGACTTCTTAATGCCAGTCGGCGGCAAGCTTGCAGAAGAGTCACAATATGACTTTGCATTTAAAGATACACATATAAATCTATTTAAAAGTATGAACATAGAGCAACTGAATGTCTTCCATGTTGATTTATACAGTTTGTAATAGATTATTCTTGGAGGAACTTTTTTTTTGCAATTTACTAAAACCAATTCTATAGTTGTTATAATGACCTGGTTAGCAAATATAACCTATGATATCAATGGGTTATATTTTGTCTGACATATTTCATACTAATTGATAGGCTTTTTTAAATAATAAATTTGATTACGGAATATCCCGTCTACAAGAACAATACATAAAGCTCATGGTTGACAAGGGGTGCTTTCTCCTCCTCGGCACTCAATCCCACATCCAGAATTTCCTGGGGTCCGTGTTTTATGCCCTGCTTTTAGATTTGTATTGCTTGTAGGTTTCTTTTGTTCAACCAATTATACTTATCTCCACTTTTTTCTAAAACCGGCCACGGTAGGCTAGTGCTAGTGCGTCTTCCTGATCTCGTTCGCCGCACCGAGTCAAACCCAAGACGTGAACATAATTAGTGGCTGTTCCTTCCCCAAGCGCCCGGCATTAGAAATGAAAGTCACGGGTCTTTTGAATGAAACCCCCCAAAAAATCCGAAGTCCCATGTCACGGTAGACTGCTCAATGTCCCTGCGTGCAGAATATAGGTCTAAATTTGAAGCCCTTCTCCGGTACATGTTGACGACGCTATAAGAGCGAAAAATTCTCGAATGTGTCGTAAAATAACATACAATCAATCAAATCCTTTTTCACCTGAAAAAGTTATGCAAGATAAAATTACCATTACAATCATTCAAAACAATTCACTGGCTTTGTTCTGAATTTGCATTGTAGTAAAAAGATGATCTAAACTTTCTTAAATCTATTTCTGTATTCTATATTAACCTGAAAATAAATTCAATGACATTGGTATCAGTTTGCTGCTGGGGCAATGTTGAATTAGATGTGAAGATGTTTCAAATTTTATTCTGTTTTCTTACAACTTTTCTCTTTCATTCCTTTTTTTTTTTATAGATATTAACAAACAATTCAATTATGTTAAAATATCTCAGTGTTCTAAAAAATCTAACAAAAACAACGCATAGGTTGAAGTCAATATTTTAGTTAATTGAAGATCATCAAACATACTCATAAATTGATATTAACACAAAGGTGTGCAATAACGCAGAGGTAAAATGATGATAGAATAAGATGTTTTTGAATTTGAAAAGAAGGGAAAATGTATGTCAAGTGATTCAAGGTAATCCAAAGTTGAGATTTTTATTACAGAAATTAAACCATTTCTTTCAAGATAGAGACAGTTTTGAGGAAAAGTTTTGCAGAAGGACTATATACACTTCTATTTAAGTATTCCAATTTTTTCAAAAAAGGAATTTTATATAAACTTCATATATCAACTTAATATCCTGTGAAAATTTGTCAAAATCTATTGAGACATCTCTGAGATATCGCGCTCACAAAATTTGGGAGGAATAATAAAAATAATAAAGGGAAAACAATACAATCACTTTTGGTCTTCTGTTGTGAACGAGAGAGCTAATATAAAACAATAATAGAAAACAGAAGGAAAACAATTATAAGGTCTTCCGAAGGAAGTCAGAAGACCTTAATAATAATAACAGAGTAAAAACAATATGTTCCCAAGCTTCGTTTGGGGAACATAAGAAGTGGTTATGATTATGGAAAAATTAATGTTATCCCACAATTACTAAAGGTTTTTTTTAATAAGTAAAAGCATCTTGATAAGATTTGTTGTGATTGCTGACAGGGAAAGTTTGATAAGCATGCTGGCCTCACTTCTTAAATTCCCCAGATATTCTTGGGAAGTACTGTATTTGCCAGCCGTCAGAATTTGCACATTGTGAAAGAGAGAGAGACTATCCGTAATTGAATTTGACTTATATGGTATTTATACTTGAGACATTTGAGCACAGTTTTTTTTTTAAATTTTCATGACCCTCGGTGAACTTGTTGTTCTTTTAATGACATGTACCACTGCAATATTGTTAAAGTAAAACAAAATTCTATAGTTGGAAAATATATGCTTCTACAATTCAATAGCTACTTGGACTAGAAAAAGCTCAAAAAAGGTCTTGTCTCGATCTCGGGTTTTGCCTTCTGCAAACCAAGTATTCGGCCATTGATCGCACGCCCACTTGCGACAAAAGCTACACCAAAACCCCTCAAGTCTCCCCCTGCATTGTCAGTGCAAAGTTGTAGAGTGTCGTTATTGACCAATATGCCCTCTGTAATGACTGAAATGCCATTAAAAGATTGTAGAAAGGTGAGCCAGACTAGAAGGTCAGCTTTCATTTCTAATGTTACCCCTGTATGGTGATGTTGTTTCCTAAGGCAATTGTTGCATCATTCAGTCGTCGACAGAAAGGCCTGCCTGGAGCTATGACAACATGTAAAAATTTAAAAGCCTTAGTATGGATTGAAGCAGCTTAATTGTTACCTTCTTTATTGTCATAATGTCAAAAATCTTTTGTTTAATTTCATCTATCTTTTCTGATGGTAACTTTATGATCATATCTACCAATAAGACTCAATGCCCAAGAAGGTAGTTTTCCTGATAGAATGCCCACTGCTACAGATATGGTCATCCAGACAATGCATAATGTAGGAATTTTGTGAGAGATCCTGTGTCAGCCAATGCAGAAAGCTAGCAAATATGTCCTAGATTGCACAACTTATCTTACGCTTACGCCCAAATGGTAGCATCTTATGCTAATAAAAAACATCATTAAATCGAAAAACCTAACAAATCAAAATCAGTGCTACTAACTGGTAGCAATCTACATGCTGATTTGATATCTGGCTTGGATTTCTCGAAAAAATCTTAAGTTTTTACTCAAGTTCAATCTCAAATCCTGAGAAAAAACTCAGCTAAGATTTTTCTCAAATCGCGTTTCTCGAAACAAACTCAGTCAATTCTCAGCTAAGTTTATTTTTTTCTCAACTGAGTTTTTTCAACGTCACATAAGCGGCCTTACTCCTTACTTCCGGTTAAAGTATCCAATGTAAATAATCGTCTGCTACGGCAATCTAGGCCTATATTATGCAGTCTGTTATGGAAGTGAAAGTTCCAAAGACACCCCGCCGGCCAAATTGGACCGAGAAGGAAAAACTGGTTTTGGTTGAGGCGGTCCGACAACGCGAGGACCGCCTCTTCGGAAAAATGAAAGGGTCGGGGGGTGTCAAAAATGTGAAACTCAAAGAGGGGGCGTGGGAGAAGGTAGCAGAGGCGGTGAATGCGTAAGTACCATTTGCAGTATATTTTATAATCATGAACACGTATATATTATGCCTAATTATGCATAATTGATAAGTATTACTATTGTTTTAATAGAAAACGAGTGCCTCGTGTGTGTGTGTTGTTTTGTTTTAAGAATTAGAGTTATTCCTCTTCTTTGCTATAATAAGTTTTCAGAACGTATCAAGGGGAATTTTCTAAGTTCTTGAGACAACAAACGGACATTTAAAAAGTTCAGTCATTTTAAAATTGCTATATATCTAGATATATGCTTGGGTAGAGAGGATGTGTAGCATAATTATAGGCCTACATTGTTTTCTGTATTATTTAAAAAAAAAATACACAATGATTAAATATGACAAGTCAGCTGCTACACTTCTCTACACGGAGGCAATGCGGGTTGACAACTAGATTGTCCACCGAATGCAAAGGGCAGGGACCAGACACGTAGATTGGCATAATGGTTATTAACATGAAAGTTAACATTCGTGAGCATCAATCTAAAGAAGTCTTTTCCCTAGCAAAATTCAGAAAGTACTCGTACATTTTGTACATCTATTATATATTTATACAGTGCTGTATAGTGAGAGTTACCCCTCTTTATTTTACTAAATTCAGATTATAGACTAGTAAAGTAAAAATTTCTATAATTTTTTTTCTTTATTTAATAGAATAAACACATTTGAAATGAAATAAAAACTGCCTATTTAAAGTTCAATCTTGTTTCAAGCTCAGTGTCATTTGCATTTGTTTTAAAATACTGGAAATGGGTACCCTTGTATACATCATTTTTGAAAGCTTGTTGTGGAAATACCTTGACAAATAAAATATTATAAATTGATTACAGACAGTCCGATACAGTTGAAAGAACTGTTGAAGAAGTCTGGAAGCAATATGCAAACATCAAACAAAGAGGTACAGTATTTAGAATTTTATTAATCAATTATTTATTTAATTTTTTCACCTGTTTTTAAAATGTGTCCATATATCACTTATAACCTTCAATTTAAGAGACACTTTTATGATAACCTAAATATATGAATGGAGAATTTTCAGGTATATAAAAAAATCTTATGATTTTGTTTCTCTGGGAAATCTCTCCAATAAGTAATGGCAAAATTATGGATGACAATATTAATATTTTGTTTTTATGCAGCTAAAGAAAAATCAGATGCAATTAGACGTCCTGTCACTGGTGGAGGTCCAAAACCCCCCTCTCCTTCTCCAGTGGAAACAGAAATACTAAATCATCTTGAAGACAGACCCACTCTTTGTGGTCTGTCTTCAGGTCATGATACAGAAGAAGGTATTTTATTATTTGAGTATCGGTAGCTAAAAAAAATATTTATACCTAAGGTTTGATAAGATATCCGTTAATTACATATTGGGTATAAGAAAGGACAGGTATTACATTTTTATAATCCATATTACAACTGTACTATTTTTCAGTAGTTCTTGGTTGTCTTCAAAGTACTGCTGGTGATTCATTCTCAGAGGTGCTAGCTAGTGGAGATACTTGCTTAGGAAACAGTAAGAACTTAATATTAGTAATGTTAATTTGTTTGTTTTAATTAGATGTAATGATAATAGATTCATACATAGTTGAAAAAATCATTGTCAACCATTGTTACCCTCAGCTTCATGCAATATTTGTGTAAAGAATTATACTAAACTGTCAGCATCAATGCAAGGAAAAGATAAATATTTACCTGTATGCCCTCAAGGGCTCCAAATCTAAATGACCATTCGGATTCTAGTAATTTACATCAAAGTATGATAATTAATATGAATAATGCAATTTTTATGTTTTGAAATTTTTATCTAATAAAAGAACATATTACATTTGCTTATTTTTTTTTAGGTATTTCATGTACAAACATGGAAATTCCTATAAATAACAGCACCCAGTTTGGTCAAATTATTGATCTACAGTTGCCATCAACTATCTCAACTAAGACATCCAAAAGGAGGAAAACCATGGAGGATGAGGAGATTAAAACCCTTAAGGCAGAGAGGGAGAAGTATATTCAGGAGACAATCAAGCTGAAAGAAGAAGCTGAATATTATAGAATCAAAACATTGTTCTTAAAAAAGAAGATTAATGAAATGTCACAATCAAAAAGAAATTCAGAACAATAAGTTTTATAAAGAAAGAAATTCACTGTAGGCCTACATATATGAGTATATAAAGTATATTCTATGTGTTTACTAGTTGAATACAGAATTTATTTTCATTGATGGGACTTTTTTTCATGAGTACTAGCAGAGTAAAAATATTTTTTCCAAAAATCCTGTGTCATGAGTGAAATAAATTCCTCATTCAACTACAAATGTTGAATTTTCTTTACATTATGCCTGAGGTCAAAGATTAGGGGACAATTTTTTTGTACTGCCTGAGAATCAGTTATTCTAAATTTGCCATCTGTACATGCACTTCTGTCAAAAACTTTAATCTCCATTTATATAGGAACAAAAATGTATTTTTTAATACATGGATGCTATATTTTTAACATGATGATTTATTTCACCTTTCTTAGACTCTCCACTTTAAGATGATACCGGGTACATGTATTAATTTTTTTTATTGTTCATTTGCATGAATTTTTTTTTTTTTAAATAATAAAATAATTTTTTGAAATAATAAAATATTTTATTACCACTATTAAATACTAAAACAACATTACTAGTATTATAAAAAATATGTTGTAAGTGGTAAAGATAGATACACATGTATATAAACATTTTCTAGCCACATTTTAGCAAAATGCATCTATTCATGAACTCTTCTTGAACAGAAATTTTCTTTCTGAGATATTAAATACTGCAAGGTTTCAAAAGAATTGTAACAAATTTTACAGAAAATTACATCTTACAGAATGTTAATTTTTGTTCTTGTAAAGGGAGCACTTGTCAATTATTTATAAGACTGTTTTAAAGTTTTTAAACTACGTGGAACTTTGATTATTTTAAAAGCATGAACTAAAAATTGGTGCACACAATTAATTGATTTCAAATAAAGCAAAATTTTAAGACATCCAAATAAATGATATTTTCAAGAGTTATGGTTCCTTCCTATGGGACAGACATCCTTATATCCAGATACCTATAATAAAAAATCTCTTGCCTTACTAATGATTCCATCACTAAATCTGCTATCTAAATGCTTGTGTTCATTTATAAAGAAAAAAAACTCTCAGCAAGTTTTTGGTGTAAATTTATTGAACATTGATTAAGAAATCACTGTTTGATTATTACATGTCAAGATTTTAAAAATAATTGTGTATTATGTAAATATACATGTAGTACTGGTATTTATATAGTATTTTTATTTTGTTTAATCAGCATAAGTTAATTATATGGAATTTGACCAAAAGAATGTGTTACATTTGTATATTTTGCAAGAGAAATGTTTCATCTTTCATCATTTCCTAAATGTTCTAAAAAAAATCATACAGATACTCTCTAAAAATTCTCAGTGTATATCACTGTTCTAAATACTGTACCCATAATTTTACTTTTTTTCTTATTTTATTTTCTTAATTCACTGAACTAACTAATTTTCTATAAAATTTAATTTATAATATTCTGTTTGTAAAGTGATACATGTAGCAGTACAGCGTTAATATAATAAACAATTACATAATTAGTTACTTGCATTTTCTTTTATTGATATCTGATATATCATTACTGGTAATTTTTAAGAAGTTCAAAAATATTTTCAAAGTGTTCATCGTTGTACTGAATTTTTTTTTACTTAAATCTGTACGAGGGGTTATCAAAAAGTTCGTGGACTAGCGCCATAAAATTAAAACCGTTATATGTACATCAATGAATTTTTAAACATTTAATAAGCATCATCTTTTCTATCTGTAAAATAAACTATAAATCGTAAGTTTTATTTTTTTAGTGAATCGTAACTGTTTTTGTAAGTAATGGTATGTCCAGGCGGCGCAACCCCGAAAAGAACGTATTTTCTACCTGAGTGTAACTGAGAAAACTCTCCTTATATGAGCATTTGGCATCCGAAAATCACATTAATTCACTCATCTGATATGACACAATTTTTTCGTAAGAGTTGCAAGTTTTACCTCATTCTGTACATTCAATGAAATTTTATCGTAAATTTTATTTTGAATGTCCAAACAATAAAGGGTTTAAAATGACCTCGAAAGGGGGTAGGGTGTCATTTTACAACATTCTATAAAGCCTCAGCCCCTGGAAAACCTGGCATAGCCTCAGAAAATGTTTAAACAAGCTACAGAGAAATACAATTTACCCAAAGTACTTGTTTTTAAATACCAAAAGAAATTCAGCAAGAAAAGAGACCCACGGTTAATATCGATTTGTAGTCAGGGTGTCCAAAGTAAGTCATGTCGAAAAGTGACGTTGATCTTTGGTTGACATTGAACTCCGACAAGAAAATTATGCTGGCAAAATCAAGCGAGGATCTTAATTTTCCTACATGTATGTATAGATTTAATATTTACAATATTGATGCATTGAAATCAAGAGTTCATAACATTGTAAAGTCATATAAACAAGAGGGATTTAGAATTTTACTTTTCTCCAGAGAATCTCATCAAGATAAGTGTATTGAGGCAGAAAGAGCGTGCATTGAGAAACAATGACGTTGCCGGACGTCATGAAACCAAACGGTGACAGCGCCGGGTGATCATATAATGCATTTTTTATTTAATGATAATTTGGCAAATAATCAACATATCAAGCTGAAATTTTCAACACTTCTTCAACTTTTGTTGTTTTATGTTCCCTATAAATTTTGTAATCAACGACTACATAGTATTAATTTTATCGCATCAGTCCACGAACTTTTTGATAACCCCTCGTATTTCAATGCCATATAAATTGTTTTTACCACTTATAACCCAAAAGGTTGTATAGCATGCATAATATAAATCAAGATTTGTTTGTAAAACACTGATTCCCCCTGTATGACAGCTTTTGGCGAAGGTCAAAGTCCAAGGTCTAGGTCAAAAGATCAAAAGTGTTGTTATAAAAGATAAGGACCTGTCTTAATGAATATGCAAGCCTAAACAACAACCATTCGGAAGTTATGGCCCAGGATAAAGTTGTTTTTAAAGTGGGTAAAACTCCAAAATCAAGGACAAAATGTCAAATTTGTTGATACCCAAAGATTGTTCCTATCACAAGGAATACACTTGAAATATGAAAGTTATAGCTTCAACCAATCAAAAGTTATGGACAAGGTTAAAGTTTTTGCGGACAAACAGACAGACAGCTAGACAGACAGACGGACGGACAGGGCAAAAACTAAATACATGTACCCTCGAATTTATAATTACGGGGGCATAACAAATTATGTATATCTGCATTCACATGCTGTTCAAACCCTGTTATTCTTTTTCCATACTAGTCTATTATGATTTGTAAACTCTATATAAACTCAAATGTAAATATCATACATGTATAGACAACTGTACCAGGGATACAGTTGTGGCATAATACTTTATGAAAAAAACGACCTACATATGTAATTTCTAACATCTTTGCCATCCCACTGATCCCTAACATTAAAATTTACATCCCCTTGGTTGATATATACGCCATCATCAATATCCAGTATGTCATTATGATCTATTCCTATATTATGCAAAACTGCACAGGCCAGAGTGATATCACACGCCTTTTCAGGAGTTGTTCTTAAGCCGCTGTGGAGACATGGAAATCTCTTCTTCAAGATGCCAAAGGTCTGTTCGATGACAACTCTGGTTCTAGCGTGAGCATTGTTAAATCTTGCTTCCGCATCATTTGAAGGGACGGGGTACGGTGTCATTAGGTGGGGTTTGCAAGGGTAACCAGAGTCCCCCAAGAGTAGTCCTGGATATTGTCCTTAAATATAAAGAAATGTATAAGATTACTTGAAAGTATCATATTTGTGCCCCCCCCCCCTTTTTTTTTAAATCAAACCGTGGCAAAAAAAATAGCACTCTAATTTTTTAGTGAACTCAGTAAAAGTGCAATAAGCGCTAATCGGTGATTTTCCACGGTAGTGACCCAGGCAATAATTGTCAATAGCAGTAAAGAATGGTTTTCAACCTTGGAAAGGAGGGGGGGGGGGTCCTTAATATATGCACTCAATAATAAAACAGAAAACGTATGTGGTATATATTGAATTACAATGACATTTACAAATATTTGGGTCAAATGTCAGGTGCTTTGATGTTGGTACATGTACAACTCTTTGTTTAAGCCCTGTTCACAGAATTGTATTGTTTGTACATGTATATGCCTAGTTTTTATGAGATGATCGTTCACAGAATTGTATTGTTTGTACATGCATATGCCTAGTTTTTATGAGATCGATCGCAGTTCGTTATCTTCATCTTCTTCATTAGATCTTAAAACTTTTGAATCCAAACCCCAAAAGTTGTTCCAATTTGCCACTCTTAGGGAAATATCGATGATTAGCATCACACTTTTAAAGAATTTTGTAGAATTTACCGCTGTCGAAAAATGGGATTTCTTTCCATTGTTACGATACTTTAATATTATCAATAGATATTGCGTCAGCTGAAGTTGTTATTTTTGTTATGTGTGGCGTCACTCGTTACCTTTTGTGTGATTTCCGGAAGCCGAGGAACACCAGCACGCGATCGTCTGCGAGACAGGAGATTCAAGAGATTTTAGACATTGGGTACAGGAATGGTGGATGATTTCATACTTTGTAATTCGGCTTGAGCTTGGGCTAACCGTGGAAGTATTGCCGTGAACTTAGCGAGCGATGTCCGCGGAGCTGGAGGACTTCCTAACAGCTGAGTAAATTCTGTCCGCGAATTGTTTATTTTGTCAATTTGTGTGTAACTGTAATTGTGTGTGTTTATTTTAGGAATGACTCTAATTCTTGGCCAAATTATTCGAGTATAACCTGGTTTGGGTCAGTTTACGCTTTATAATCCGCGAAGCGGATTATATAACAGCGTAAACTGACCCAAACCAGGTTATACTCGAATAATTTGGCCAAGAATTAGAGTCATTCCTTATAATTTAATTCTAAAATCATTAAACAACTGTGGGTGTAAAATTTCGTTGCTTTTTATTAGTTCAAATTTGCCGCTCAATAATACAACCGTAGTAACAGAAGTGAAGGGAAGCAAGGG